ACAGTTCTGACTTTTACTACCTCTTTTCTTCTTTTATTTTCCGCAGCCCCGAATTCAATGCTATCATGAATGCGATCGAGCAAGTCCGAATGTGTTTGCAAAAAAGAAGGACGGCCGGGTTTATCATATTTAACAACAAGCTGTTGTTCTTGTAGAAGTTTTTTTCTAATATAAAACATTGAATAGTAAGTATTTGAATTCAAATAAAGTAGAGAAAAATAAAAATTCTAATCGTATCCGGAATATCTCACTCTGACCTTTCTCGGGTACACATCAGGAAGTTTTAAAAAAATAATAAATTTAGATGATTAACCCTGGTTAATCGATCTAAAAAAGCATTGAAAAACGGGGCTTCGTTAAATATTGCAATGTATTAAATCTTAATAAATCTTAGTATGCAATATACATGTTATTTAACTAAGTAGTTAAATATCTAGTTGTATATTATAATGATTATCTTTGAAGGTACGATGTTTATTTTTTTAAATTAATTAACGAGTTGATTAATGATTTTAAAACTTCCTGATGCAATTACTAATATAAAATTTTAATTGTACTCGAGGTGAAATTTAGAGGTCAGGTGAAGTACACTGGGTATAATTAGGAAATAAATAAAAAAATAATAACTTTTTTTCTGCATTGTCACGTTTATATTCTGCCTGTTTTTGTAGGAATTTAAGTCTCTTTCCCTCGGTATAAAGAATTTGTTTTAGTTGCTGTATGCGATTCGTTAAGTTGTTTCGGGCCTCTAGATCATTTGTTGCATTATAGGTTCTTTGGCATTCAGCAAGCTTCTCATTCGTATCATTAATAATTTTTACGGATCGCTTCTGCTCCGATGCATTTACTGGAGGTGAATTAGGAACAAAAATTTCCTCAATTATTCGTGTTTGAGTAATAGGAGCAGCACTAAGGTTTTGGATAGTCGAAGTGATGTTGGAGTCTTGGGCAATAGGAATTGCACAAGTAAGTAGATGTTCAATAATGTTTTCTATTTGATATGCTGATTTATTTTTTATTTCTTTCCATGAGCTATTACACTCTTTGCACAAAAATTCTTTTTTTAAATTTGGATTTTCAGAAACAACCATGCGGTTGTATGCGAACGCGTTACAGAAATTTTGATACTGGTTTGTTGGTGTTTTATAAATATACAATTTATTATAGTTTGAGGCGGTTGAGTTAGTTTGCATATTGAAAAAAACGAATTGAAAATGGATAAATAAATGAAAATTAATATGAAAGGAAAAAAAATATGAAAAATTTAGAGTAGATTAATATTTGAAATCAATTGAAAAGGTAGCAGAATTATTAGTTATCTCAAGGTATAATCATTTTTCTTACTCAAGATTTCTGTCATATTTATAGCGGATGAAGCAATATACTTAACAATTAGCCATATGCTTTTGTTTATTTCATTAGGATTTCACGCAAATGCGAGACGAATCCATCTATTCAAATTCGGAAGGTAGTTATAACAATATAAAACTTGTCTTCCGTTCATTCCGTGCAATGTATTTTATCATTCTTTAATACGGTTTTAATTAAAATTTTTAATAGTTACAAATAAGAGATACATAAATATTACACTCGATGGTTGGAGGAAATTTACCTTGTTCTTTATTTAAAACTTCATATTTTATTTTTTTTTAATTGTTTAACAGACATGATACTGCGAATTATGCACTCGATACGTCTAAAGATATATTTTCTTAAATATATTTAAAAGTTTAACGGATAAAAGGTACCACTTTACATTGCTGCATCTGGGAAATTTTATCCTGTTTTTTATTTTATTATAATTTCATTAATTGTCTTAATAGCTTAATGCACGGGCGTCGCAATTTTACATTAGAGAAAATTTATCTTAAGTATCATTTTTATTAAACTTCATTGTTTTTTTATACAATTTAATTCTAAACGTTTTCTTAAATTTTTTATATAATTTAATGATTGGGGAGTATTGCCGACTTTACATTTAATGTGCCTGAAATAATTAAACGTTATTCTTTTTTATATTTTTCTTAAATATCTTAAAAGTAATTTAACGGACAGGATACCTCAAATTTTATATTAATGCACTTGAAAAATAGCAAAGAGTACTGCAAAGTAGGGTGTCCAGGATATACTGTTGCTCTAACCGAAAAATTCTGCTACAATTGACGTTAAATTAGCAAATTCAGCGGTGACGTATAAGTAATAATTTAAAAACAAAATTACGATAAAAAGAAATTCTAAAGAAAATTCCAAATTCATTACAATAGGCATATTCATCAATAGTTTTTATTTTGCTCGTAGAATTCTGCGCAGATTCTGCACCGCAGTCCCCTGGACACTCTACTGCAAAGCTTCATAATTCTATACTAACTCATCATGTTTTTCTGATTTATTATTTAATTTCCGTTTGGAGGCTGCATTATTAGCAAAAATAAGTAAAATTAGTGTTACTAATCTATCCTTGCATTTGTTCTGTTCTAGCTTCTATAACAGGAATAACAATGTCAACACGCATCATTATTACGGACAACATATTAAAAAAGGTAAAACTAATTCTGGCTTGCAAAATACAAACTAAAAATTACTACTATAGTACCCCCTTGAATAGTAGCCCCTTTTTTGGCAATAATAATTAATAGTGCGATTTTTTCATTGGCTAATAGCAAAGTATTTGTATTATCCTTCCATATTCCAATATTTGGGGTATTATTCAATCTAGGCCAGCTTTTTTGTAAAATACCCGGGTACTATATGCAGCGCTATACGGTATATATTGTCACATTAATATCCAAACTTTTAGAATTGGGAATTAGCTACTGAACTGCTAACTGGATCTGCCAAACCCTTTTAAATTTTTTTTTTTTTTTTTTTTTTTTTTTTTTACAACTAGGCATTGGACCATCATTTTAACGATAGAAATAAATTCCGGATCATATGCTGCAAGACAGATGAACATCTATATATATTTGTAAGTGATATAAATTTACAATGCTTAAGAAATATTACCTGCTTCATAGTTTTACATAACACTATATAATAATTTTATTATTAGGCCATACAAACTTAATAATTCGGTTTTCATAACATAAAATTTTTAAAAGTGACCCGGCAACCCGGCTTTTAATTTTATTTTCAAAAAATTTTATACGTAAAAAACATATAAAATTTTTTTATAGATTTTTTAAAAAACTCACCCGGATAGTAAGTATACTTGAAATTTTTTTTTAGAGTTTTGTAAATTTTGACCCGGCCGGGTTATGAAAACCGATTTATTAAGTTTGTATGGCCTTATATTAATTTAGTGGTGATAAATTTTTACTAATTGATGTATTATCTAAACTTACTAATTATAGAAGTAATTATTCGAATGAATATTTAGTTATAACCTGTCTCTCTTATTAATTCGAGATTGGGATCGCCTAAAATTTTTCTAATCACTTAGCCTTTTAATCTTAATTAGCCAACATTAAAATAGTTTTGGCCGACGAACAACATGGTTCTGTCTGGAACTATGAACCAATTTTTAAGCGGTTGAACGGTTCCAACCCTTATTATTTATTTTGTTTAATTTATGTGGTAAGTACGAAGATCCTTAATTGATATAAGTATTCACCATTATGCTATATATTTTGAATTTGCCTAAGTCTGTGTTGATGAGTCTTATTAATCAAAAAAGCAAGTTAAATTCATGCGGACTCAATTTCTCACTTTACATTATTCTTTTCTTTTTTTTTATCATCATCCTCGTGATCCTGAATATTGCTACGAAAAAGATAATCGTACTTTTGGTAGTCCTGTTGACGGATATTTCTGGAAATTGTGAAACCACATGTAAAATCAAAACTTACTAGTGAATATTGCAAATTCAGGTAAATTGGCACCTTTTCCAGCATCAACACAAAGGATCTGTCGACAAAATATACAGTACTAATTTCAACTTAACGTTTTCGTTATAAAACAAAAATGAGCGGTTTTAGGTACATCAGGTCTAAGATCAGTCTCATATCAGGATCTGATATACGTTATATAGGCTTAATTCACAATCTCAATTCTACAGATTCAACTATAGCTTTTGAGCAAGGTTAGTTCTTTTTAGCTACGATGTTAAAACATGACCAAGGATTAGACAATGAAAATTTACTATTTTGGAAAACAGTCACTTTGGAATAAGGCTTTTTCACTAAATCTATAACTATAATATACGGTTTAAAATGTTTTCACGATGATCCCTGGTTTCTTACTTTGCACAATATTATAACTTATATACTAAATTAAAGAGCTATTTATGTAATTGATTCATAATGTTATTTTAATCTATACCTGATAATAGTTAGGAGCGGCAATCGATTTGTACTAAACAATAACCGAATTCCTGAAGTGGAAAGCCGTCTTGTACAACAGAATCGCAGAAGCCGTGTTGGTAGAAGAAACTATTACCAACAAAGCTATGTTCATGATAAAATTCCTGTTTCACAGTCAGGTTTTGATGTTGAATTGTTGTCAAATGTTAAGTTCAACAGTGATGACCTTATCAGGGAGTTTGTTAAGAAAATTATTCCTAACCATGGTCTTAAAGAAAATTGTACAGAGGGCATTGAACTTGTTCCAGAAATAGAGGATGTTTTGATACCTCTTGCTGAGATTTATTATGATAAGTTCAGATCTTTCTTTGATAACATTCCCTGTGAAACAAAGAAACATTTGGGACAAGGACTTGATGGCCGGTTAGTTTTTTTTTTTAAAAAAAAAAATTAAATCATGTCTACATATTGATAATTATGGACGTTTATTAATGTTAATAGAAAACTATCTGAGGCTGAACGAAGACAGAAGCAATCTAAAGAAAAACATTTGAATATTGAAACTTTTGGACGAGGCCCGAATGTTGACGGAAGAAATTGTGGTGACTATCGCAATTGCGATTCTAGAAGAGGCTGAAGTGGGTATCGTAGTGGCTGTGAAATCAATGATGGATACTCTAACGACTATCGGAAGAGTAACTTTTGAGTATGTTTTATATTTGCTTCTGTGAAGATTCCAACATTGTCATCATTTCTAACTTCATGTTGGCTTAGCAACAGGTTTAGCAACAATAGTGAAGCATATTTATTTTTGGCGATTTAAAGATTTATTTGATGGTTTATATTTACAGTCACAGATTTCTTATTTTTTTTAAAAAAAATAAAAATCGATAAACCCAGGTCATTGTAATGGGTCACACTAGTATTTTTTATAAATTTATCCCGCTTGACAGTAAACTGCAATGCTTCTTGTTGGTTGATTTGATTATCCGAAACACAAAATTGGATTTAGTGCTCCTGCAAAATCAAATCAAGGTTTGAGTTTCAAATCAAATATTTGATCGAATCAAATTTGATCAAATATTCTTACTCAATGAACAGTTCATCGAGCAAGAATATTTGATTTGAAGCTCAAACTTTGATTTGATTTTGCGGAGCACTAGCTGGATTATTGTAAGCCGCCATATAGAGTGCCCGGGTACGCTACATTCGACCGGCGAAAACCTGTATTATACCTATACTTGTTGGCAAAACTCGGACAAATCCCAAACCTAAAAAAACAATTGCTATTTATAAAAAGTTGAATCAAAAAAAATCTTAAAATTAAAGTTTTCGAGATATTAATTCGGACTGAGTTTGGGTTTTGGGTGGGACAAACCCAAACTATAGTAGTTTTAGATTTTGCCAACA